AGGCCCGCTCTCCACCACCTTGGGGGACTTTTTTCTTTTTTATTAATGCCACACTTCTCTAAGGTCTCTGCTGGAGATAAAAAATGCAACATGTTTACAGTAACTATTATTCCATGTTTTTTTTTGGCATCAAAATAAGCACTTTTTTCTTATGCTATACTTCTGTAAACTAAACTTACATCTTTTAAAAGAGACTTTAGTTACTAAAGTCTCTTTTTAAAATGCAGGATATAAACAAGAAAAATACAAAATGTTCACTACAGGTTTAAAGCTGTAAAACTTGATATTTTGATTGCACCCTATTCCTATTAAGCTATTGCTGTTATGTTTAAATTGACATAATAAAGCTATGTTATAATTTCTGTTTTTTTATATTTTGGACTCTTTATTCTAAAGAAAAATGTAATTTCTGTCTTCACAATTTTGATTCTTTGCTGTTTTCCAATAATGACATTACTTTTAAGCAGATACTTCTTTGCACTTCACTCATGTGATCATCAATGTTGAATATAGAAGTAGCAAGTGAAAAAAATCCTAAGGAATCAATATAAGCAATGAATGATAAATGTAAGAAGAATCACCATATTCATAGATATGTCATCAAGATGGATCCGATACAGTGATCATGAATGAATTACTTTAAAGAGGAAGATCTAAGATAGTCTAAAATTACCTTCATTGTATCTCGTCATCATCATGTAAGGTTAACTGACAAGAAAGATTGGACAGTGTATAGCCAGCCTCGATTGGCCGATATTGCTTTAACAGGATAACCTCTATTAATGGCACTATTATGCTAAATCTAAAATAAATAACATAAATATTAGTGAAATGAAAAGAGTGAATAATGAATATATCAAATAAGGTAGATACCCCAACAGAAGTTGTCATTGTATTCATGTAAAAACCTTTTTGAATCATGTGATCCGTGGTCAAATAAATGAAGATTTTCCTCTTGTTCCTAAAAAATATGTTTAGGCTGTAGAAAGTATATGAGTAACTAGAATCTCAATCCTGTGATTGCATGGATTCATATAGATGAAAATAGCCTCCAGCACGACGCTCTTAGTGGGTCCAAAAATTCCTCTTCTAAGTAAGAGCAAAACAGTTCCTTGAGCAAATTGTGGACAAATGTCCCGTTTATGCACATTGATGCTTAATGCATATCATTTATATAGTTGTCACCTTAATAGGCCCAAAAATGTTTTTTCTAAAGAGTTAGAAAGTTACTCTGTAAAGGCTATGAACATAAATGTTCCATGCAATATCAGAGTGCAAGTCAAAGCTTAGCACATTTCAAAAATGACTTGCCACCACTAATACACAAATACAACGACGACCTTTATTGGGGTATCTACCTTATTTGATATATTCATGAATGACTCTTTTCATTTCACTAATATTTATGTTATTTATTTTAGATTTCGCATAATAGTGCCATTAATAGAGGTTATCCTGTTAAAGCAATATTGGCCAATTGAGGCTGGCTATACACTGTCCAATCTTTCTTGTCAGCTAACCTTACATGATGATGACCAGATACAATGAAGGTAATTTTTAGACTATCTTAGATCTTCCGCTTTAAAGTAATTCATTCATGATCACTGTATCGGATCAATCTTCATGACATATCTATGAATATGGTGATTCTTCTTAGATTTATCATTCATTGCTTATATTGATTTCTTAGGATTTTTTCCACTTGCTACTTCTATATTCAACATTGATGATCACATGAGTGAAGTGCAAAGAAGTATCCACTTAAAGTTATGTCATTATTGGAAAACCGCAAAGAATCAAAATTGTGAAGATAGAATCACTCAGAATACTATGAAAGTGGACGCTCCATACATCACTATTATCCTCTACATAGGAAGAATACTTCTTATCTAAATAATGGTTTCCCAGCCATACATTTAATCAATATGATACAGCTAAGTGAATGCGCAGGACGTTTTTTTTTTCGTTTTTTATATTCACTGTTTTTACTTTTTTGATTGACTGTGTGTTCATCATGTCATATGCCCACCCTTTCAAAAGATCTTAATGATCAAAATAAAGAAATTATTTGCATCTACTATTGATGTTTATTGCTTACTCTGCATTGGATTTAAAATACCGCTCTTTTTTGCAGTTTTGCTCTAGTCAGCTGGGTTCTGGTGAAACCTTGCTCAAAAACAAAACCCAGATCAGTTTGCCTAGTAAAAGCGGTTAGGATCAAATTTAATTTAATTGTTATTAAAACATAACAGGTGACCATGTTTGTTTTTTCTTTCTCCATTCATCCCCTCTGTTTTCTCTCTTCAACCCTCTACAATCCACTTCCCCTCTCCCCCCCCCTTCCCCCTCCCCCCTCCCCCACTTTTCACCCCTTCCCCCCTCCCCCCACCCACCCTTTTCCCTTCTGCACAAACCGATTCCCCCCTCCCCCTTTCCACACTGAGATGCCCCTTTTTTGACCTCTCATTGTCATTTACCCCTTTCACAATTTCCTATCCTCCACACCTCCTCTTCCTTACCCTCCTTACTCCTCCACCTTCATCCACTCCCTCTGCCTTCTCAGCTAGCTCCATATTCACTTTTCTTTAAACTTCATCTCCCTATTCCAACCATATCTCCAACCCAGTGACCCAAACCACCAATAACCTCCCCTTGCCATGTTAAGCTACCTTCACCCATAGCAATAATTATTATTATTGGCCTATGCTAACCTCCATATATGATTAGGCCGAACGTGCAAAACATATCAGAGGGGTGGCCCTGGGGACAGAACAATGTGCTGTAGTTTGTTGGTTGATTATAGTTTTTCCTGGGAAGACATCATGGGTGTGTTGTTTTTCTTTTGGATTATACCAAGCCTGGAGGAATGTTTGGATTTTTGTGTAACTGTGTAGACAGAACACCTGCAATGTTGATCCTGTTACATTGATAGTGGTGAAAATTAAGGAGTGGGACCAGGAATTCAGAGGTGGCCTTGGATTAATCTAAATAATCTGGGGAGGTAGATGTACTGTATAAAAGAGTCCTGTTCCATCAAGTTTGTTTATGCCGTGTAAACTATGTATGTCCAAACATCAGTGGTGAACTGCTTTGTAATGCTGAATGGGGTCAGTAAAGCTTCTGACTCCAAATTCATTCAGGGTTAGTACTGAATGTTTAATTAGGGTTGTTTTGTTTGTTCAAACCAGCACAGTGTAGGTTGTTCTTAATAGACATCAGGACTGGGAGAAAACTAAGAAACACAAAGTTTGAGTGTCTGTTGAGATGGAGATGGAGGCATTAGGGTTGATTTCCTAAAGCCAAATAGGCTGCTACTTTGAAAGGGAATTTTCACTTTACAAGCAAATTTTTACTTGGCTCAGTGAGTTTATTGAAAATCAACTTTACAAAAAATAGCTACTTACATACAAGGAAAATAAAATGAAAAAAGCTGTTTTTGCTTGCACACGATTAGATAATGGAAGCTAAGGAAAAATTCCCTTGCAAAGTGAACTGCCAATTTGTCTTTAGTAAATGATCCCCATTGATTTCCTCTGACTCTTTTAGTTTGACCTAAAACTTTATGGGTATTTATTTCAGTTCCATTAGCATTTTACACAGTGATATTTCTTGTTATATCCAGCTATGCTGCTATTTTAAAGTTTTCCTGACAGTAGTGGTGCACTCAAAATATGTACAGAGGCTTAAATTATAAAAGTTTTTCAAAGTTTTAATAAAGATAAGCAGTGTAGCTGTGGGATTAGCATGAATTGTGCTAATTGATGCATCATATTCTCACAAAATCCAATATGGGAAGAGCTTTTCTTAATGAAAATACAGTCTACAGTACTTGATAAAAAGCCTTCTCAACATCTCTGAAAAGATACAGTAACAGAATAGTCTCAGACTAGACCCAGACAAACTGGAGAAAGTCTGAATCAAAGCCAACCCACATGCATGTCCTACAGGAAAGTCCTTTGTAACAGGTTACCTGATGCTGTATGTGGACTTCATGGAAGCTTCTAAGGAAAGTGCAAGATGGTGAACTAGAGTAAATCTCTGTAAGCAAGACGACATAGATTCAAATCACTTAAGTCACTTAAGAGTAAGCAAAACATAAAGTGATGCGGGGGGGGGGTCACATGTGATATCAACATTGCCCAAACAGCAACTTACAGCATGGAAGCACTTTCTTTCATAAAGCTTTACTAACAGACCTGAATCTATGATCTGGGGGTCCAAACCATATTGTTTTTCTGATGTTTACGTATTCTACATTTCGGTCTACTAACTTATGCCAGTTGTTGTTCCTTTTAGCTCTGTGTGCTGTTAGGTTTGTACAGGTAAACTTTTTTCATTTCCTTTAATTTACATGCACTGCATTATGTTCTTTTGTATTTTTTTTCTCTGCTTGGGTATCACCTTCAAAGGAAATGTGCCAAGTTGACACCTTCAGGAACTTGGCTAAAGCTCTGTGCTTGTCCCCCACTAGATCTGCGAGGGCTAAAGGGCTTTTTTTCCTTTTGACACACACCCAGGTACTAATATTTAAGTAGCTCCTTGATCGGGGTAACAACCCAAGATTTTCTTCTCTCTATCACTACCTTTTTTTTTTCCTCCTTTCTGCATATACTTGTTCCCTTCCCCCCTTCTGCATATACTTGTTCCCTTCCCCCCTTCCTACCTCCCACTAATACCCCCCGTTTGACATATACACTATATTGCCAAAAGTATTGGGACGCCTGCCTTTACATGCACATGAAATTTAATGGCATCCCAGTCTTAGTTCTTAGGGTTCAACATTGAGTTGGTCCACCCTTTTCAGCTATAGCAGCTTCAACTCTTCTGGGAAGGCTGTCCAAAAGGTTTAGGAGTGTGTCTATGGGAATGTTTGACCATTCCTCCAGAAGCGCATTTGTGAGGTCAGGCACTGATGTCAGACGAGAAGGCGTGACTCACAAGCTCACAGTTAAAGGACACAAATTTATAAACCTCCAACAGGACAATTTTATGGTAAAGTTCATATAGGCCCCAACTCGGATTGCCAGACAGAGAAACGTGATTCGTCACTCCCCAGAGAACACGTCTCCACTGCTCTAGAGTCCAGTGGTGGAGTGCTTTATACCACTGCAGCCAATGCTTTGCATTGTGCTTAGTGATGTAAAGCTTGGATGCAGCTGCTCCAATCCATGAAGCTCTCTATGCACTGTTGTGCTAATCTGAAGGCCATGTGAAGTTTGGAGGTCTTTTGCTGTTGACTCTGCAGACAGTTCATGGCTGAGCTGCTGCTGTTCCCAGTTGCTTCCACTTTGTTATAATACCACTAACAGTTGACTGTGGAATATTTAGTAGCAAGGAAATGTCACGGATGGACTTATTGCACAGGTGGCAACCTATCACAGTACCATGCTTGAATTCACTGAGCTCCTGAGAGCGACCCACGCTTTCACAAATGATTGCAGAAGCAGTCTGCATGCCTAGGTGCTTTATTTAAAACAGCTGTGGTCATGGAGGTGATTGAAACACCTGAATCCAATGATTTGGAGGGGTGTCCCAATACTTTTGGCAATATAGTGTACTGTGCTTCCTGCTCCATTTTATTTTTAGGCAATCTTTCCTTTATATCCACAATATATCTACAGATGTTTGCATAAACTCGGAGAATATGTAATACTTATACAGTACGTACCATTTAAAAAAATCATGAGTGAGCAGGTAAAAACACATTTCTGTTGTTTCTTAAGGGATTAATATTCAACTGTAGGTCATAACAGAATGGCAAAATCATAAATCAAAACATGGCAACAAGTAAACAAATAAAATTACCCCTTTTCAAAAGTCTGCATACCCTTAGTGTATAACACTTTGTATTGCTTCCTTTAGCATCAAAGACAGCATGCAGTCTTTTGTAATAGTTTTCTATGATGCCCCGAATTCTTGCAGATGGTATATCTGCCCATTCATCTTGGCAAAATGCCTCCTGGTCAAGCAAAGTCTTTGGTTGTCTTGCATAAACCCTAGAGCGATCTCCCTAGTGCTGCTCAATAGTATTATAGTCAGGAGACTGTAATGGCCACTCCAGAACCTTCACGTTGTTCTGCGGCCACAACTGGAGGGTCAACTTGGCCTTGTGCTTAGGGTCGTTGTCGTGCTGGAAAGTCCAAGAGCATCCTATGCTCATCTATTGTGCAGAAGAATTCACAGTGGGGATGGTCTTCTTTTCGCTATAGGCCTTGTTGACCTCTCTCCAAACATAGCGCTTATGGTTGTGACCATATAGCTTTATTTTGTTTCTTGTCACTCCAAATATAGTGTGCCTGAAGCCGCGAGGAGTGTCAAGGCGTTGACGGGTATATTGATTTTTCACGGCATTGGCTCTTGACCATGCAGCTAATTGTTTCTCAATTATAGTCATATTGTGCTCCTTGAAACAACCATACCGTCTTTTTCCAAAGCAGCCTGTATTTCTCCTGAGGTTACCTGTGAAGTTTTGTTTGTTTACTGAACAATTCTGGCAGTTGTGGCTGCAATCTTTCTTGGTCTACCTGACCTTGGCTTGGTATCAAGAGATCCCCAAATTCTCCACTTCTTAATAAGTGACTGAACAGTACTGATTGACATATTCAAAGCTTTGTGTATCTTCTTATTTCCTTTTCCTTTTCCATCTTCATAGTTCAATTTCCATTTAAGTTCCATTACCTTGTTACCCAGGACTTTTGACAGTTCTTTTCTGCTTCCCATGGCTCAAAGTCTTGTCTGCACAGTGCATCCACGTGAGAGCTAACAAACTCATTGACTATTTATACACAGACACTACTTGCACATTAAGAACCCACAGATGTGGGAAATTAACCTTTAATTGCCATTTTAACCTGTGTGTGTCACATTGTGTTTCTGTACCAAGGCCAAACATTCCAGGGTATGGAAACTTTTGATCAGGCCCTTTTGGGTGATTTCTGTTATCATTGTGAGTTTAAAAAGGAGTCAAACAACTATGTGATAATAAATAATTATCATTATTCCTTAATAAAAGACATGGTTTTTTTTACATGATCAGTCATAGTTTCAATATAAATTCCCAAATTTAGTTACTTTTACCAGGGTATGCAAACTTTTGAGCACAACTGTATATTTATAGCTTCTGTGACTGTAAAAGGTTCAACACATACATTGCTTCCTGCCCCAATGTATTTTTAGTCAATCTTTCATGTGTACCCATAATATATTCCCATTTATATATTCCGTGAAAGTATAAAGTTTCAATCAATCTAACAAGTGCACCAAGGCATTTGTTAGGTCCATCCACACAGACATAGTGTGCCTTCAGGAGTGACACCTTTCTGCCTTTAGAAAATAGTGCTAAAAAGTCCTAATAGCCTTGGTGCAGTTTACAATTAAACAAGAGATTAGGGACACTGAAGGGTGATATTTGCTCCATCCAGAATACAGTTGGCTCCACCCAGGATACAGTAGTCCATCTCATTACTTAATACACCCCTAAAGGTGGACATCTGAGTTTTATAACACATCTTCTGAAGGTGGTAAGTAGGGTCAATAAAGGATTTTTTATTTGAAAATGTATTTTGGTTACGTACCAAAATACCAATATTTTGGTTGACTGCCAAGATCCAGCAAACAAAACACCTTCCCTTTCTGACATTTCCTAATCTAGACAATCCAAAGGTTTGCTAGACCAATTTCATCTTGTTGACACTTGATGTGCAAACCTTTTAGCGCTATATAAATACTGTATAATAATAATAATAATGTGAATGGCACCCTTTTACTCCTGTTCTATTCGAACCATTGCAATTCATTCTCCCACATTGATCATACAGTATTTTCTTGCAACATACTGCTCTTCTATGTCTTGTGTTGCCAACGGTTCTCTCAAATTCCTGGTGGGATAATGACTACAACCATCTCTATTTTCTCTTGGGTAACAAAACCCCATTGTTTTCGTGGTCACTCAAAGACTTTCTCTAAAGTGACCCATGCCTTGATGCAGCCATAGTAGTATGTGTTATAATTAATGTCTCTACCTTAAAGCAGCCTTAGAAGTATGTTTCACAAATTATTATTATTATTATTATACAATATTTATATAGCGCTAAAAGGTTTGCTCAGCGCTGTACATTATAGTGGGGGACAGAACATGAGACAATACAGTAACAAAACAAAACACGAGGGGTTCATGGGCTCTGCTCTTTCGAGCTTACAATCTAGGAGGGAGGGGGATAGCGGTACAGGAGGAAATAGTTGTGGGGGCATAAACTTCTAATGCTGAGAATAAAATGCATTTTCACAACATTGTCACTTAAATGATTTATTGCTCACACATGCCATGGGTATATGTGGAATTACTCCTCAAAATACATTCTGCTGCTTCTCCTGAGTATGGGGGTACCACATATGAGAGACTTTTTGGCATTCTAGCCAAGTACAGGACCCCAAAATCCAATAAGCACCTTCAGGCTTTTAAAGGGCTTTATTTCCTCATTATACTTCCTGACTACCTATCACAGTTTTGGAGGCCCTGAAATGCCAGAACAGCACCAAACTCCACCAAATGACCACTTTTTGGAAAGTAGACACCCCAAGGAATTTGATAAGAAGCATGGTGAGTATTTTGCAGATCTCATTTGTTGCCACAAGGTTTTGGAAAATGAAGAAAAACATATTTTTTCTTTTCTTTTTTTATATTTTAAAACCTTGTGAGAAAAAATTAGATCTGTAAAATACTCACTATGCCTCTTTTTAAATTGCTTGGGGTGTCTACTTTCCAAAAAGGGGTCATTTGGGGGGGGGGGGTTGGTGCTATCCTGGCATTTCAGGGCCTTCGAAACTGTGATAGGTAGTGAGGAAGTGAAATGAGGAAGTTACGCACCTTCAGGCTTTCAAAGTGGATATTGGATTTCAGGCTCCTGTATGTGGCTAGGCTCCCAAAAAGTCTCACACATGTGGTATCCCCGTACTCGGTAGAAGTAGCAGAATGTATTTTAGGGTGTAATTCCACTTATGCCCATGGCTTGTGTGAGAAATATATCATTTAAATGACAACTTTGTGTAAAAAAAAAAAAAAAAAATGTTTGTAATTTTCCAGAAACTTGTGGAAAAAAAATAAATCTTCCATGGACTCAATATGCCTCTCAGCAGATAGTATAGGGTGTCTAATTTCTGAAAAGGGGTCATTTGGGGGTGTTTGTACTATCCTGGTATTTTGCACCTCAAGAAATGTGATGGGGATCAGAAAGTAAAAGCTGTATAAATTCCATTATCTATACCATAGTTTGTAGACACTATAACTTTCACACAAAGCAATAAATATACACTTATTGGGATTTTTTTTAACCCAAAACATGTGGCAGAATACATTTTGGCCTAAATTTATGACAAAATTTTAGTTTTTTTTGGATATTTTTTTATGACAAATGAGAAAATATTGTTTTTTTCAAAAACAAAATGTTTTCTCAAACCTTTTTTGTTTATAGCGGCAAAAATAAAAAGCACGCAGGTGATCAAATACCACCAAAAGAAAGCTCTATTTGTGTGAAAAAAGGACATAAATTTCATTTATGTACCGTATTGCATGACTGCGCAATTGTCAGTTAAACTAGTGCAGCGCTGTATAGCAAAAAAATGGTGTAAATTGCAGTATCTATACCATAGTTTGTAGACGCTATAACATTCACACAAAGCAATCAATATACACTTATTGGGATTTTTTTTACTAAAAACATGTAAACATGTACATTTTGGTCTAAATTTATAACTAACTTTGAGTTTACTATATATTTTTATATAGCCGAAAGTAAAAAAAATATTGTTTTTCTTCAAAATTTTCTGCCTTTTTTTGTTTATAGCGCAAAAAATAAAAAGTGCACAGATGATCAAATACCACCAAAAGAAAGTTCTGTTTGTGTGAAAAAAATGCCGTAAATTTCGTTTGGGTACAGCATTGCAAGACCGTGCGATTATCAGTTGAATTAGCGAGTAGCAAAAAGAGGCCTGGTCATTAAGCTGGGTAAATCCTCTAGAGGGCAAGTGGTTAAGCATACAAAGTATAAATAAAACAGTGAATTGGTTGCTAAAATTTTTTTGAAATGTTTTGCTCAGTCTTTCCATCTTCGTCTACAGCACACACTGCACTTAATACACACTTCAAACATAACACATTGTTATTAAAAAAATACTTTCTTATAGAGCATACACTGTAGGACCATGGCATAATGTATACTTAGCTTGTTAAACAAAAGGATGAAGTATATTCTAACATGTATAAAGGATGAAATAAATTTATTGCAGTACAATGGTTTATATAATTTATATATAAAATTATGTAAACCATTGTTTTGGAACGTTTCTCTGAAAACTGGATTTGAGCTTCAAACTGTAACTAAAGACAATTGTTTTCTTTTTTGATAGAGCAAGGGAGGGTTATAACCCCATCAGTTTTTTTTCCATCTGTGTCCCATTGGGGA